GTTTGCAAGAGTTGTTTACGGGAGCGATTCATCCTTGGAATAGACAATGATCTTGCTGGAAAAGCCTCTAGAGCCTAGTTGCTCACGCAGAGCTTGGATTCCCTGAGCGACAGTAGTGACGTTCTCTCGGTAGTAGGATAAGACAACGTCGATGTCCTGTACTTGACGGTGGCCCAAAAAGAATCTCTGGTAAACTTGAGAGGAAAGCCGAGTAGGAAGGTTGACAAGGATCAGGATCGAGAGACCCACTGGCAAGAGAACCATCGCGAGGCTGATCCTCAAGTTCATCCTTTTCCAGTGCCACTAGAGCGATTCTTAGATGAAACAAGCGGAGAGAGGGAAAAGGGTGCACAGGTATGAGCCCTCTCCAAGATCCAAAGGGAGTGCGCTCGATGCGCGCAACGGGCTCATACGGGGTTTGATCTCATCAAAACACGCTTGCATGCCGCTGCTAAAGAGGACCTCATAACAAAATCCAGTCAACCTTCGCTCCTCAAGCGCGTTCACCGAATTGTGGCCGTTTGGAACATTTTCAGGACTTTGGTGCACTGGCGGCAAACGTCAGGCACTTTGTTGAAAGTTTAATCTTCCCAGATTGGGCCCGGGATCCTCTGATGCAACTCTCGTATATTGGCCAAGCTTTCTCCCAACCCACCATATACGACCTCATCTTTTCATGCCTTCCACCTCCCACAATCATGCGATGTGGCCGTACCTGTCGCGTGATCTATGTCGCCACCAAAGACTTCAACACCAGAGCCTATAACATCAATCGCCACCTCTCAAGGTTCTTCAACGATCCGGAGGGATTTCGTTCCCTCCAAGCTCAAACGGCCGCTCTCATATCGGGGTCCAACGCGCTCCAGTTTTTGGATCGATCACATTACGCCGATTCCGACCTCGACGTCTTTGTATTTGCAGGCACTGTCAGAGAGATTGGGCGATGGTTGATTAATCACGAAGGGTATTCATTCACTCCCAGACCAGAGCAATCGCCTGAGTTTGAAAAGGCCGCCGTTGAAATGTCTCCTGTTCCTGGCGAACCTGAGGCATTCGAGGTGCACGAAGCGGAATATCGTTCAACCGGTATTATTGGTGTGCACTCGTTTTCGAAAGCGCCGGATCTTACGATCCAACTCATAACAACTCGTCGCACCCCGATGGACTGTATCTTGCGTTTTCACTCCAGTATGCTGGTCTTCTACTTCGCATATTCTTTGACTAATATGCGCCGTTTTAGCTTGTGTGATGAACGTGATTGCTTTCGATGCTGCTTATTCATTGTACCCTAGGGCAACATTCGACTTGAGGCGTGGGCTCTCACTAGCACATATCTCTCCTCGCGAAGCAAAAGCCCTTGCGAAATATGGAGCCCGCGGGTGGGTGATCCATTCGACAATATGGCCGCACGAGGAAGATACCTTGAAGCCTCTTTTCAAAGTTGACGTCCTGCGCCGCATGATTGATCGTGATTCATGGGTCATTCCCTTTGATACGACTGACATCACGTTGCGTTCGCCATTCAATTTGTCGTCGCCCCCCTTCACAGAGGACCCAGCTGCTTTCTCTAGCTGGACGCTTTGTGGACGCACTTCCCTGGAGTACGACATGTCGTACCGTTTCTTGTCGTCAACCATCTTGAAGTACGACTATGTAAATGACGACCCTGGTTTCTTAGAGGTCATGATTGCGTTCTTCCAGAAGCAAGGTTCGCTGGAACACTCAAAATTTCGTGGGCTCCCGAAGGATGTGGAGGCTTGGACTTGGTTGAGCGAATTTGATTTTCTACATCGACTTGTTTCAACTAACCATGACTCTAGGTGGGACGCTTCTCTTCCGGGCTTTTACAAGGCCTACCTCAAGCGGCTCGAGGACAGAAGGATGGATGAAAGCTGACTTGTCTTTTATCACAACAGTACCATCGGCTGGCCTCCTTGTATAATCTACACATGTCAATTAGGAGCAACATCCTGAACACTATCATAAAATTCTTTGATAATTCGTCTCTGGGCATCCACTCCCTTCTCGTCCTGCATCAACAACAACATTAGTACCCCACAAGGCTTAACAAGATGTCACAAACTGAAGTGTCCCCAATTGCCCGAACAACAACATATTTCCTTCCAGTCAATATATCCTCCGTCACATCCCCAAATTTATCGGAAGTCGAGGTCGCAGCAAAAACGTCATGGGAGCCGGTCACCAGTCCACCAGCCTCTTCAGCGATGACGATCCCAGCGCACACATCCCAGGGCCAACAGCCAATCTCCCTTCATGCAGCAGTGTCTTCAAATCGGGAGCAACTCGGGGGAAGGGGACGTACCAGTAGAGGTCAAGACTTCCTTGTGCAACCATTCCGTAATTCAACGCAGCGCTTCCCATCGAACGAAGGGAGTGTGCCATTTTGCCGCCGAGGATACCCTGGGCTGGGTTACCTGCCAAGCGGGAGAACGAGGCCGCTTTAGCGGATATGGTGGTTTCAGAGCGATCCGAACCCCACTCCACGGCTGACAAGGTAGTTCTATAAGATGGTAAGGAGAAACAATAGAGTAGAGAGTATACCGATGAGAGCTTGGTTGAGGGATGGAAGCGGTTTGGGTGGGGATGCGAGCGGAAGCCTCTTGGGTTCGCCGTTTGCTTGGCTAAGATGCGAACCTTGTCCTTTCACGCCCGAGTACTCGAAAACGGTATAAATCAAACTGCGGCATATCGGTAATACGAGGAAGGACATACAAGATGGTTAAGGAATGGATTGTAGATGACCCCCAGCACCGGTCGTCGTTTATAAATTAGCCCTAGGGAAATGCAGGCGAATGGGAAACCATGAACAAAATTCGTTGTGCCGTCTGCAATCAAACTGTCAGAGGTGATGCGATTGAGAAGATATTTCAACCATACCGATAGGGTCTACGCAAAATGTAGGCTCATCCGTCAAGGGCGGACGCGACCCCGCCGAGTACGATTCTTCCCCGATACTATTGAAACAAAACGATTACTTAACCACAGCGCGTTCATAAACGAAAACATCACTCACAATTTGAAGTTGGGGTACTTGATCCCCAATTCCTTCTTCACCAACTCCTCAACGCGAACATCGTACTCCGTCACCAGATCCACCGAGTTCTTCTTCTCATTGACATTCGACTCGGCAGATACGGCTTGGATAGCTTCGGAACCTTCCAAGATCAACTCACCGGCCTTGCGCGCGAGGGTAGTAGTGAATTCGAGGATGGCCTTCAGATCCTGTGGAGTGAGCTCGGGAACGGACATGGTGGTTTGAAGTTTGAGCGATCGATTAGATGAGCTCCATGATCGGAGCGTTTCTGGGCCTCAAGCGGAGAGAGCACGTTGGTAGAACGCGTCAACTAATCAAAATCATCACGGCCTTGGACGACGAGCAGTTGGAAACAACGTTTGATGCGCAAAGTTAGATAACAAATTCTCATGGGAGAAGGTCGTGAATTGCATTCGAATACAACCACATGCATGCGACTCTGAGCGAGTTATAAACAAAAGAAAGACCTTAATCTGAATGATCTGTGAGGGACGCGGTGTTGAATCCGAGGAAAGGAAAGCGGATGACGAGGATAAGTAGATCCCAGCATGAAAGATGTCTTCACCTCTGCACGCGATATCGTCAATCATGAGAAGGAGAAAGATCACTCGGTTTGTCGGAATGATTGTATCATATTTGGATTCTAAAATACTTGTTTCGAAATTTTGACGGAAAATCTGGTTCTCGAGTTACCAAATTGAACTGGCCGCTGTCTGGGTGTGCCACGGGTGCGCCAGTACCTCCTCAATCGTTAGTCAATCACTTGGATCTATCTTGAGCATCCTCCGTAAAAGGTCGTAAAAGTTACCAAAGTCTTCTTTACCAATTGCGCTACCCGCTCTCGAACGTAGAAAACTATCTATCTTTATCTGCCACGCCTGGTCGGCCGCTTCCTGGGAAATATCTGCAAGATGATGAGTCAGTGCGGGCAAGGAATCAGTTAGTTCGACCGCTAATCACCCAGTTTGCAGAGATGTTCGTTCGAGTCCCAAAAGCTGCGCCACGACGGCGGAATTTGACCGCAGACGGCCGCCACCTTGCCCAGGTAGTAGACGCTGAATGATGGCCAGTGGTACAGGTCTCCGCCAAAGACGATTCGGTACATCTATCAACTAGTGTTAGCGGGGCATGAACATATAAACCGGAGTAGTGGTTGTGCATACAATGCAAGCCAGTGCCCAGATGTCGCTCGCGGTTGTAGCAGCTTGGGTGACGACCGATGTAGTGACTTGTTCAAACAGGATCTCTGGCGCACATACCACCGCAGGTGTACAGGCAGGAGGTGCGGAGCTGCTTCCGACAATTATAGCTATCGAGCTAACGTGAGCCCACGGCAAACATCATTCTCGTCTAGTACAGACCACTTCCTAAATCGAGTAGCTCAATGTGCAGTGCAGCGGGTGGCTTCAGGAGGTGAAAGGCGATATCCGTCGGCGGGACAAGGTACGGAGGCAAGGATTTTGGCGATGCAGGTGTCTGACAAGGGAAAACTATTGTGCAATTGGGCGGGTCGCAGCGGTCGATGAGGTCCTCCTCAGTGATCTCGTCCAGTTGCGGCATGGACACGCCAATATTTCCCATGTGGAGGTCTGTAGCCCACCCATTTCCATCAGTTTTGATGCTAAAATGGATAAAATGACCAAACCTCCGTGCACAACACCATGACGGTGAAGAAAGGCTAGGCCATGAGCGACTTGGCGACAGAGTTCCCGCCGGTTCCAGTGAGCTCGTACAAGCCCAGTAACTATGTCGAATGAAACTAGAACATCGAAAACATGTACGGCATGTGTGCCATTAGGACCATCAATGGTGAAGCTGTCATGAAGCCGTAGCACATGGCGCCCTTCATCGCTGGGGAGCCGTCTAAAAACATCTAGTTCACGCTGAGGATCGGCATCGGCAACGCAGACCTTGAGTGCGAAATAGCGTCTGCGGGTTAAATAAGTGAGTCGCACGCGAAGGCACTCATTAAGAAGGTCGTCTTTACCTGGACTCAGGATGATGCTGAGCAGACACTAGCCATACGGTGGAAAAAGCGCCATAACCGAGCTTACTGAGTATGCGATACTTACGAGAATTGCTTGGTTCAGTATCTGCGGGCGTTGACAATACTTCTCCAAGCTGGATGGGGTGATATCCCCCATGGGTATAGCGGCGAATCCCTTCAACTTCGCCCTCGTCGACGCCCCAGTGCAAGGAGAGCCGTTGAGGAGGTACGGGTTGTTCAACAGTCATGAAGCGCTTACATTTGTGTGTAATCAGAAAGCAAGATAAGATAAAGCAAAGTTCCCACGGATGATCACCCTCAAGGAGAACACGCAATACATAGTACCTCCTCCACTCTCACCAATATCCATCTATAAACATGTTTCTGACGCGTTCAGAGTACGGTATGTGCACCCAATCCTCGTGGTTTTCTGAAAGAGCTCACTTTGTATTGTAGATCGAGGTGTCAACACCTTTTCACCAGAAGGACGTCTATTTCAAGGTGGGACTTGCGTAACCACTGTTATTTGAACTGAATCGAGGCGTACTATAGTCGAGTATGCCATTGAAGCTATCAAAGTCAGTCTTTAATCCGAAATACATATCACATTCACCTATATATTCACTCATAGCTAGGGTCAACGACAGTCGGAATCCGAACCCCAGCAGGCGTCGTCCTAGGCGTCGAGAAACGTGTACAATCTCCCCTTCTAGAAGCCAGCTCCATTGAAAAGATAATGGAAATCGATTCCCACCTCGGCTGTGCCATGTCTGGTTTGACGGCCGACGCCAGAACTATGATCGACCACGCTAGAGTAACTGCCCAAAATCACGCGTTCACCTACGACGAAAAGATCAAGGTGGAGAGTGTGACGCAGGCCGTGTGTGATTTGGCGCTGAGGTTCGGAGAGAGTGTGCACGACGAGGAGGCCATGATGAGTCGGCCGTTTGGTGTCGCGTTGCTGATTGCTGGGATCGATGAGCTTGGTCCACAACTGTACGTGTAGCATCTGTTTCTCCTGCGAATTAATTTACTGATGCTTAAGAAGATATCACACAGATCCTTCTGGTACCTTCGTACGGTATGAGGCGAAAGCCATTGGGTCTGGATCAGAAGCGGCGCAACAGGAGCTGCAAGACAAGTGTCATAAGGTATTGTTCTTCTTGCTCCTACACGAGCAGCGGCGCTCAACCAACATTTTTTCAGCAAATGACCCTGAAGGAAGCACAACTCCTGACTCTCCGCGTTCTTAAGCAAGTTATGGAGGAGAAACTGGATCAGCACAATGTGCAACTAGCTCAGGTTAGTTTCGACTCATTTCAGTTTGACATCCATTGACGTGTTTCGCCTTTTGCTGTAGGTAACGTCGGAGAAGGGCTTTGAGATTTTGGACGAGTCAAGTCTGAAGCAAGTAATTGAAGAAATGTGATACTATTTGGATAGACCTGTAATGCCAACCTTCCTCGACATCGAGCCCACCAGGAATTATCAGAAACTGAACAAAAGTTGCGATATCGCTGATGTCTGCCTAATAAGGGATATCTTTCCTTCTGACCATTTTTCTATTTTACATGTGAAAGGCTCTTCCGTCGAGCTAGCTCGCGAGTCGCCTACTTCAAGCTATGAAAAACATTCATTCCAAATTTCTACCACGTCTCAAGCAACGACATACCTCGCAATACATTCAACCTCAACAAGGACGTCCTTCGGCAACCTCGCGACTTCCACAGCCGACCGCGCAGGCTTATGCTCGCCAAAGAACTTGGCGTAAACCCCATTGACAGCCACAAAGTCATCCATCGATTTCAAGAACACCTATTTCATTCAATCCATTAGCTCTCGATCATATAAAAAAAGTATCAACAGTAGACACACCGTAGTTTTAGCAACCTTGCCCAACTCCGATCCTCCCGCCTCAACGACAGCTTTCAGGTTCTTCAGCGCCTGCTCAGTCTGCGCCACTACACCCCCCTCGACGACTTGCATCGTAGACGCGTCCAGAGGGATGCACCCCGAACAGAACAACAGGTCCCCGACCTTGATTGCCTGTGAGTATGGCCCGATAGCAGCTGGGGCTTCTGCATGGGTTCGGTTTCGGAAGTTAGATAGATGCTAAGTTTTGATAGCATAGGGAGAAGACAAACGCGGGGTGGACACAACCGAGAGCGAGGGGTGGGTAGTGGCTACTGTCGACGACATACTTCTACGTTGCGGTTTTGACGAGATGATCGATGGAGAAAGTGAGAGCACGCCGGTAGTCGGAAGTTGGATTCTTGTTTGACATCGATAGGACGCATTTATGATTTTCCGTGATGTCGCATGTCCGAGTCTATGAACGACACTCGAAAGCATGGTAAATCAACACCAAGTTTAGGTGAAGATCCGGACGACGACGTCGACGTAAACTTGACATGTTGCAAAACAATTTCAGATTTCTAGTGATGGTATCGCTATTACAGCCAGAGGCCCCTCGACCTCTCGAATATACGGTAAGGTGCAGAGGTCGGTATTACTTAGAAGGTAGTAAGATTATCGAATGGGGAAGCGATAACGACAAACAGAATGCATATGGTAAGCGACAATACGGGTCGAGGATGTATGATACTATGGTGGCCGACGGGTGTGAAGGGGGCGGGAGAAGGTTGCATAGAGTGAAAGCAATGAGCAGCGTGAATTGATGCGAGTTGTAAAAAAACAAATTTGACAATGGTGTGAGGGTCGTGAACAGACGGAAGAAAAGCCAACAAAAGAGAGACGAGAACGAACGAAGACGAAGACGAGCTAAAGGTGCGTTTGTGGGTGAAGTAACGTCGCGTTGAGAAGCGTTTGAGATGTTGATGGCGCGAAATGAGTGGCGGGCAGCGGTGTGAGATGAAGAGTCAAAGGGTGGCTCTTAGACAAGGCGCATATTCCGTAGGTTTCCTTTGATTATGATATCTCTCACTAGAGCGGCGAATGTCGTCCGTTAGCTATTACATCGCTTGTGTTATAGATCAGAGCCTACCGGTCGCTATTATGACCGCCGTCCGCCTTGTATCAGTGACAGCTGTCAGGTGAACTGCGAAAAGTAGGATAAGGTCAACGACACAGATGAAGGGCAAGTTCCTGCATACTGTAAAGTTCCCGTTCCTTGTTGGGAGTATAGGATTGATGAAGAGCGCCAAATTTATTTCGAAAGTCTGGAAATCAAACGTCAGAGGCGAGGAAGACCAACCGAGAAGCATAACGTACACTTCGACACAGACTCATAGTCATTCCCCCTGTCGCCATATGTTACCATGTGCTGGTTCAGCCTGATTCCAGCGTCGAGTTTAGCCTGACAAGGAGAGGACGACAAATCAGGTTACGAGAGGATAAAAATAAGTAGCCAATCATACCTGGAGCAGGTCGCATTTGTTCAGAAATAGCACAATGTTGACGTTGGCCAGGAGTTTATTGGATACCACAGATTTCCAAAGCAAAAGGGTGTCTTCCAATCTGTTGACGCGAGCGTCCTATTAAGTGGGTTGGTTAATTTCCGGATCTCAAACAAACGCCACAAAAACTGACCTCGGCTAAAACCTGGGTGATGTGAGAAGGTTAATCTAGCGGATGGCAAAGCGTTGAATTAAATCCTACCTGATCAAAGACCGATATGGGTGCGAGGAAAATGATCGCATTAACTGGGTCACAAGTTAAAAAGTTAGGGGCGTTCGGGGTCGGGGTCGAGTCTCGACTCACCATCCTCAAAGTAGGGAGCCCACGCTTGTCGCTGGTTCCTGGAACCGCCAACGTCGAATATGCGCCACTCCACACCTCTGTTACTTCCCGATGGAATGGAAAAAGTATGTTCTACGACACCCATTGTCTTAAGGCGTGCCTTGAGCACGTCAGCTGTAAAACGTCAGCTTTCGTATCTGCCAAAATCCACATTCCACATACCATCCGTAGGAATGTACTTCTTGGCGGTTATCCTATGAATTTCATCGAGGTAGCTATAGCACAGATGAATTGATGAGGAACTCGGAGGTAAAATAGACCACTCACAAGCCACTGCTTTCCTCCAACCGTATTCGCTTCTCATGAAGCCTTTGCTTCACTTTGGGGTCTCGCCAGAGCTCCATCATGACAGGGGCGCAGGCGTTGAGAGCATGAACGGGGTCATCGGGGTCTTCCCACCACCCCTCAATTTCCCCGGAGTGCGCACTCTTCGGGCTTTTTGACTTTCCGCCAAGCGCGAACGCCTTTTTCCAATTGGTCGAAGTATGGACAACAACCTCCTTTCCCTTTGACCTGGAGCCGCCGTTGCTTGAAGAACTCCTCGATGAGATCTGTTTCTTCTGAGGAATCGTGATGGTGGGTGCTGGCCGGCCACTCAGAACAGAGCTAACAGGGGGGAAGTTTTCATTACCGTTGTTGGCATACGATTGCCAACGCGGATGCGTGGGCCCCAGGTGGGTGGCTTCATCCTCGTCCGGCGAAGAAAGCAGGCGAGTCAGACGTTCTTCGAGTTCAACTAAAGGCTCCAATCGTTTCCGATAACTTTCGTAATCTGGCACTTTGGTTCCTAAGATAGCGGATGGTGGTCGGCCTTTGGAGGTAATTATAAGCAACTCAGGTTCGAGTGAGGCGAGGTCGTCGTTTTCATCGATAGGATCGCATTCTGGCGCAACGGCTTCTAATATTCTTGTGGAGTCGAAAAGACCTCTTTAGTGACATCGGGTGGGGACTTTGGCGCAGAAAAACAAACCTTCTTATAGAACGGACCAAATTTAGATAGATTACGGCTCTCCATGCGATTCTCTCGGCGTGAAAGGCGGCTGGTGTATGTAGAAGCTGGAACTCTGTCAAAGGCGTCAGTAAATGGTCGGTGGCAAGAGATACGGGCGCAGCATCGACGTGTCTCTGTCCAAAAATGGCGGATCTCAATCAGAATAGGAATGCAGTGAAGATATAACGATCTGCGTGAAACTGGGCACGCAAGATTGTCGATATGATAACTTGGGGAGGGCGTGGTTTATTTCCCCTGGACGTCAAGCGTAACCCAGCAACTCGCAGACATACCTAGCGGTAAATTATTACCAAATGGAGGTGACAGAAAGTAACATTGTCCACCGAGAGAAAGACACCACGACCACCGGCATGGATACTGCTCGACTCCGGGGTAGATGAGAATGAGAAAACTTACGTTTCAGCGTGGTGCTCTTGCCAGACTCTGACTGACCCAGAAGCAAGACGTTGACCTCTGCCTTGGACTTTTTCTGCTCATTTCTCTCCTGGCGAATCATCTCGTCGATGTTGTCGCTGACCTTCTTGGCATCGATCTCTGCTTTGAGGCGTAGGTCTCGCTCAATGGGTGACTCATTTGTGGGCGGTAGGAGGGCAGCAGTGAGAGGGTCTGAGATAGTTCTGTGGCGGATGTGGTCGAGCTTTGACTTTGGCATGAGAGCATGTAGATGATGAGGGGACAAAAGAAAGACGATTATCGTTGTGGTAGTTAGTTGAATACAAAATATAAAAGCTGGTAGCCGCTACCGAGTCGAGAAGAGGCCATTTCGACAAGAACTTTCCAAGACACACCATTAATCCCACGTGAGCAATTATGTAATTTCCTTTCATTTTGCCGACAACGACAGCGCGGCAGGTCTAAAGAAGTTCTCCAGGTCACCTCGATATCCCCTCTTGCCCTGCTCGGCACGATGAATCTCTTGTTTTTATTTTCGGGACCTTCTCGAAGACATCCACAGAACAAAGAAGTGACCTGAACAAGGAAAGGACGGCGGCAGGCAACGGCCTTTGGTAACCTCCATTGCCGCACACACCCACTACCTCCAGCCTTATCGGGTCACTATTCCAACACCGACCACCAATATGTCCATAACCATCCCATATATTCCATTGACGCCTTCTCTGTCCTCTCTGGAAGTGGGAAAACGGCAGGCTCCGGCGACACACACATAAATACATTGTGGCGTCGATAATTTAACAACCTATGCTAAGTAGTCCCGGCGGTATGTCAGTCAACCTCCACCATACGAACTCCTACAGACGGCCCCCTCTTCGACCCCTCATTAAGGCTCCTCTTGGCTCAATGCGCCTGACCCATCCACTATCCCGATTAAAATAGCGAACGTGACGACACGCACATGATAATCCAAAGGCACGTACCCCTCAGGGCCCTATTGATCGAGATAGCGTGGATGGCTCCGTTCCAGCATCCAATTAGATGCACCGATCATTCTCCGCTAGTCCAGGACATCTTTTCCGCCGTAATCCTATCGCCTTTATTTTTGAAAAACCTTCAGAGCGCTTATTCAACTTGTATCATACCACCATCGCTCTACATGCGTTGGATGGGTAACTTGAAAATCTTCGTTGTCGAATGCAAACAACTCTGAGCCAGGTACGAAATTGCACACTCCGCAATAGGCATCGGTTAACCTGTTCTCATGGAAGACGCGATTTTTTACCCCAGGTGAGGACGTCGTGCCCTTCTGCATGACCATGAATTGTAGCTCTACGTATGGTCCTGGTGGATACCAACATCAGTGTTGTCAAGGAGTTTCACGATTTTTCAACTCCATGATCTCTCCCTTTAGCAACCAGCTCCAGTTGCTTTTCCAATGAGCGGCAGTTAAGAGGCCCGTCCGGAGAAAATTATTACAGTCATGCGTTGACAAATCGTCGTGATCTTATCACCTTTGATGCATGATGAGTAGTGGACGACGAAAATCTAGGGTCCAATTGCTTTCCGCATTGACTCCATGACCACCGCCTAACATCCCAACCTCCCTGTTCTCAATTTCTTTCTTTTCTTTTTTTCTGCGCTCTTTATGGCTCCTTTAGCCAACCCACCGTCCCGGAGACGACTTTCTCCGCCGTCCACAGCTCCTAGTTAGTCAGCCGTTTTTTTTGTCGGGCGAAAACGTCCACAGACAAGATAAATTGACAAGCCATTCCGATCTAGGCGCTCTATGTAACAATAAATTTGTTTCCCCTTCCAGTCCACCTCAAAAGAGAAATTCTGGAAACTCCTGGGACCCTCTCTCAGGATGTTATGAAGGGGGTGAGTGTCATTTCCGCCAAGATCGGTGTACCGGACCGCTAATACCTGACTGACAGTGACATTGAGCAATCCTTCAGTCAGGCCTGCAACCTTGTCAAGTACGCAAAAGGGAGAGCAGGTCCAACACCCAGCACCGCCGCCAAAGGAGAGGCCACCAGATCCAACGGTTGCCAACATTCCAACGCGTGGTCAGGGCCCGAAGGGAAATCGTGGACTTCTTCCCTCGTTGTTAGATTTCCTACCGGGTAGTGATCGTAACTCTACGGGCTCCTCGAGCCCGCCTTCCCAGGCGAAGAAGGGACATGGGATCAAGTTACCACCATTCTTACACTTCTTGGAACCAGGCATGGGGAAGACGAGTTCCTCAAATTCACCCCCGTCGCCAACGACACCGGCTCCTCCGCCTTCAGGCCCCCCGAACCCCCCCTCTGCCCCCCCTCCTCCTGCTATTACAGATCAGCCATCGAAACCTGAAGCCACTCCAGCACCTTCGCCTCCTGCGACGTCGGGAAAACTAGATGACAACGCTACGCCACCACCTGCGCAAACGACATCTGCGCAAGCGACAACGACAACTTCTGATGGAGGAGCTGTGACAGTTTCTCCGACCGTTACGCGTTCTGCTTCCGTCATTGAAGACGAGCACGGGGCGAGTTTTCCCACAGGAGAAGTATCCAGCTCTGTTCTGCCGGCAGCGTCTTCCTCACGAACGATCAACACGAACACTATTAAAAGCGCTTTCGTTTATGTAACGACAGTCGCGGAATCGACTAGTCACACAGAGTAAGTGCAACCCCTCTGATCTTGATATGTCGTTGACGAAAAACGTTTTCTTTCTTTGACTTTATCTACTCGACCTTCACTGGGTGCTACGTCTCTCGTGACTTAGAGATGTTCCTGGGCCCACTGAAAGTTCACACATCGAAAACTCTACAGCAGTTGAACCGTTAATAACTAGTCCTGCCACGCTCACAACGTATTCCGTGATTACTGCCCCTGGTCAAGTTAGTTCGACGCCTTCTAGTGTGGCCGCAATCCCGACGACAATTTCACAATCGCCTAATAGTCCCACTACTGCAGGTGCAACCAGGTACGTTTGATCTTTACCTCACCAGTTTCACGAGGGATCTAATCATTATCTCAACTCTCAATTATTTCGGTTGTGCCATCAGCTCCAACTCAAGAACCTCGGCTGTGATAAGTGGTGTCGTTGTTTGCACTGCTATTGTTCTTATCGCAGGCTCCCTCCTCGTCCTCTATTGGGCCAGGCGAAGGCGTCGTCGGCAAGCCTCCTTCCAAAACGCTGACAAACACACATATCCTACCTCCGGGGCTGCCGCATTCTCTCCATTGAGCGACTCCGAGATACCCGGTCCCATGCGGGAAATATCTGCCGTTCGCGGGACATCCAGACCTTTCAACACCGTTTCACCCACAGACGACTCCATTTTACCACGAACTATGATTCCTCGCACAGCCCAGGAATCTTCTCTTCTTCTCTCCGCTGCTACCTTCGGCAGCAATTCGTCTCATCATTCTCCCGGACACACTCCAAACGCATCCGACACATCCATTCAATCCACACACGAAATACCGTCTGCCGCCCATCCCTATTGGGGACCTGTACTGCAACAAGCTAGGGAGACTCTCGTGTCTGGCAGCTCAGTAGGTCAGGGACCTACTGGCACCATTGTATCCAGCGCCGACCCCTATTCACTTGATTCGGCGGCTTCACCGTCTTCGCGTCCAGTTGTAGTTGTTCAGAGGCTAGCGGCTCTGGACCCATTTGCTGACTCGGAACCAAACCCATTTGACGACCCGACTGTTCCCACCAAGTACCTGACCGTTCGCCCTGGTACTCGCTTGTCCTTGGCCTCTGGGCGGGTGTCTCCGAACTCCATGTTGGTGCATGAGTGAGGTTTCGCTGGGTCTCCGCGTAAGCCGAGAAAGCCAACCATAGTTTTCATCAATCACCATTCTAGCTTATACCCTCTACATTGTTAGCTTGGACTTCCCATTGCCCACCACCGCTCTTTGTTTCTTTCACCCTTTGGGCAGACTTCTCGATGGACGTTGTTCTTCGATCACCTCATCAAAACATGTATATCATCCCTGTATGTGTGATTTGTATATTTTGGTGTACTTCGTTGGTTTTTCCGGCTAGAAATCCAAGATAAATACAACCCCGATTCCAGGTATCTTGTCTCATATGTCCGGATCCATTTGATATAAATTCAAAAGCATATGGAATTTATGACGCTTCTCGTAAAGCTTTGAAAGCGGATCTAGTTTTCAAGTGGTTGTGAGTTTTTTGCTAGGACAATCTCCAACGCCTGCTGGACGACCTCCCGTTCTTTCTCGAGGGTCAACCTCTCAGCTGCACTCCCTGCATCCACCCAAACCGACTCAAACGTCTCGTAGTCCAACAAGGTACCTTCTACCTGCATGCCATCATCTATGACCTTTGTGATGTACCACCAAATAATCTTCGTCCCCTTTCCCGTCCCCTCTCCATAATCCCTCACCGTAACGGCAATAGGCTCAACCAACCCATCACCCTCCTGCACCACATCATGAATATTCTGACCCGGCACCAAGGCTCGCGTCAACATGCGCTGCGGCCATAGCTCGCACTCGTAGCCAGTCTCTTCAAACGTCTCCCGCACAGCCGCTTGTTCGATGCTTTCTCCCCTGTCCTTTCGCCCCTTTGGAAGTTGATAGCTTTTGGTGGTGGTATTATAAATAAGACAGATTTGCAGGTTCGATGGGGTATTTTTGAGATGATCTCGGAATAGGACCGAGCCTGCTGAGACGACAAAATCGCCTGCGAGGTATTGCTTTACTGTGTATGGGGTACCAGTCATAATAACGTAGAATCACCACGCTGATGGAAAGCGATGATCAAAGAAGACCACGGGATTGCAAGTGTAGGTCACTTTGCAATCAGGTTCGGTATCAATATTGCTTTTTCCGTGACGCTCGGAGTGACGTAAGGCCGTGCAGTGATACCTCGCCCGATGATTGGATATTGATGATTGAGCACTGACTCGACCTGAGATCGTGGACTATCCAGGGCTAGGGCGAACGTTAGAGCTTCACGCCACGTTACATAGAGTTTCAGTGATTGTAGGGTCGTCAGCCTCAGGCGATGAAAACAAGCAGAAGTTTTTGTTGAGCCCACGACTCCGCCATGAACGCCTTGCCATCGTGCGGTGCATGCAAGACTTTCCCGGATGTGTCGGTCGTCAGCGATTTGAGTCACCTCCATGGTAAAAGAGCCATTATCCGTAAACCAATGCAACCGACAAATTTGTAGTCATTGACAATCACGACAGGGTGCTGAAGAAAGACGACAATCAAATAAGTTTCAATCAACAATTTTATGGAACGTGACCAAAGAACCATAGTATAGTCCGCTATTTTTGTGCAGCTTCAAAGGGAAGTTCTACCCTAACCGCAATGCAGGCGAGAGGCTCGGTGACGAACGACCATCATCAGAGTAGTCAAAGGGACCGTCTCCAGTTAGACCACTTTCTGTCTTCTTCTGCGTCCATTGACATACTACAGCATCCAAACCTAACACAGCCGAAACAGCAGCAGCGATGTAGAGGAAGGTATGGTACCATTCGGAACTGGTTGCTGGTCCAAAAGCGAGGGCGATGAGGTCATATAGGATGCACAACCCTAGCGTTGGGTCTGGGCCAGAAGCTACGGTCTACAAAGTCTATATGTTACCCCCAAAATGCAAATGTGTAAAAGGCTTCAATACGTACCATAAGCACAAAGATTAAAGCACTGTTCACCATTTCGGCAGTCGGCGACATCCTGTATCGCTGAAAGAGAGAGGTCAACCGAGATGAAGGGAATTTAACGTTTTGGTGCATACGTCAATGACACCCCAGTTCTTCCACATATACAAAACCGCAATGCCAGCTCCAGACTTGGCGACGAGGTGAGATAGCCAATTTTTTGAAGTGGGAGCATGCTGCCGCGATGGGTGGAGGAGCAAAAAGACAGAGTAGAGCTGTATGCACATGTTGATACCGAGGAGAAGTTGGGAGGTAGTGTCGTAATCATGTAGCCATGCGATGCTCCAGGCAGCTGAGGTTGTAACAATGAGATGGGAAAAGAAAGAAGTGGTTTGTCACGTACTGAGACAAACATTGCTGGCGATGAAGAAAGGTAGATATGCCAACTGCGTCGAATCCAGAGAAGTGACATCGTCGCGCGGACCGTCAAGAAGTTGCTCTTGCATGTCCGCCTCCTCGTCGTCCCCTTTCCGATCCTTTGAAAAGTAAAGTGCACGAAGGTTGAGTCCAGCTCTCTTCGTACACCGTCCTCCAAATAACGTCTTGATCCACGTCCCGCTCGCTGCGGCCTGCGCAACGAAGAAGACGAGTACGAGTGTTGGACTCGGGCAGTACAACGTCGTTTCCGGGTTCGGTGCAATATATCCGGTTAACTCGCAGAAGAGGACATATGCTTGAGACAGGACGTATGCAGAAAACGACCCGATGGCAAAAGTCTGCGAGAGGAGAAGTTCGCGAGGCGTAGTTGAAGAGGAGGTCATAGCTAGTAAGCGTTCCTGACGATGACTAGTAATGAGGGTGAATAGGAGTTGGTTAGATGATTGTGATTGTCTTGGGCAGAGCGCGGGGGGACTGTCGCAAGGATGGCTCGTGAATTTATACGAGTCCTAGGACGCGATAGGAGTTCATTTCTTGCTTCGCTAGCTGAACGGCAAGGTCAGTCTCGATCGAAATTGGCGTTCCATCGGGAAGTTGTAGTCAAGAGAACTTCTAGCCACTTACGTGTAAATGTAAATGAGTATAAGTTTAGGAAACCGAGTTGAGGGTGAGCTTACAGAAATCACGACTCGACGCTCCGGTATCCAAATTCCCTGTCCCCTATGCAACAGCCCATAAAATGTAGTGGGTTTCTTTTCAAGTCGAAAGGGGGGTAGACAAAAGCGTCAGCAACGAAGAAGGACAACAACAAAGATCAACAAAAGATGTTGTCACGTGTAGGCAATTTACGCCATGGCGCGTCGAAACGCGTCGCGCCTCAACAGGCGTGAAACCTGTGCGGGGTACGTTTTTTTGAGGCAGAAGAAAAATTTAAACGTGCATTGGTTAACGCGCACGTTGTTCACCATGCGCGTCGTAAGCCCAGGGCCCGCGACAAGGGTGCACGAGGAAAGAGCAGATTCGCATCGCTCTCACCTTCCCCAGGGGAGGAAACGACCTACCTTGATACGCTCGAATAATTTGCTACGTGGTAATGCAGAAAAACACAAGAGCAAATTTGACGTCGGCAGATGAGTAACCAAGTTGTTTCCAGAGTCCAAAGACCGAGAAAAGCCAGAACCAGAAAGATAGCCAGGAGAGAAGTGTAGATAATTTCAGAGCAGGTGAGTCGAGCCGAGTAGCACGAGTAGCAGTAGCAAGCAAGTCTAGCCACTTTAGAGACCAGCACGAAGCGCAGCCAATTTAGAGCACAGAAACCTGAGGGGTCGCCGACAGCAAAGAGAATAGTCAAGCAGAGGGCTAACAGTGATGCGTAGCGGTTGCCGGTAAAAGTCGTAGAGAATGATCATGTTGCCAAGGGTCAGCCGCCAGATACCTAGTAGTACTAGTAGCGCAAGGCCGGCGCCAGAGTTACGTCACGTCGCCAGAGGTGTAGCCCAAGGAGCAGCTGCCCGAGCCAGAGACGTTAGTGGCAAAGATACAGAGGTCGCCTGAGATGAGAGTAATCGAGAGAACGAGAGCAAGCAGACAGCGAGAGAGACGGGCGAAGAATAAAGCACAGAGGAAGAGAGAGGGCACAGTGGCACCGAGGGGATATTTATACAGAAACGCCCAGCGCACACAAAGATCGAGTCATAATTAGGCAACACAATGAGCGTTTCTGTGTTACTCAATTCAATGGAGACCCAAAGTAAACAAAGCAGATGTGGATGATGAGATGAGAAGGTGACTGAAGGGGCTGTGACTTGGATACATTCTAGTTTCGTGTGGGTCATTTTATACAGGAAGTGACGCTATCGGAACATAGTAGGCTCCTGAGAGTCGGTCTCAGTAACTACATGCCCCAAAGGTTTTTCTTAATTTGTTTAACAAGGAGGCGCCAAGCGTACCTGCCAATAATGTCTCTATGCTGTCGAATTTGCCTTTCAAAAATTCGCACCGGTAAGATGCTAAGTACGCCCACTAACCGTTGAGCACCATGCAGAGCTGTGTTTTCAGGAATAGCATCGGAAGGTATTATTAGCGCGCTGTAATAGGACAGGCGAGGGAGAGAGCGTACACCCGATAGCGGGGCTCAAAGTGCCGGGAGTTCATCCATAGCATCGCCTTAAATTATCTTCCGATTTAAAGCACTGGATTTAGGTTGTCTTTATTCCTGTAGGAATAATGGAAATTCCAAGACACGCGTTTTACGACGGATGTGTTCCTCACCGATCGTGGACCAACAACTCGAAATTCAAAATTTCGGGCCTTGAACCCTTTACTTGCACTGCAAATGTGGCAGTACAAAAATTTGCGTTGACCCGAGGCGTGGAAGAAGATTGCTTCTGCACTCAGCATAGGTGGCGCAAAGAGAGATTTCCTAAAATGGAAGGCATTTTTCATGACGCGACGACGTCACATGATCGTGAATCGCCGAAACATCGGCTTCGCTTGATCACCCAGGAAATCGAGTACTAGTAGGAGGTAAGCACAATGTTCATCTCATCGTATGCAACAATGACGGACCACTCTACTCAGGTCACACATACCCATAAAATATGCAGAGCCCAATACCCGTGTCGACGACAACGGACACATCTTCGCTGGCAGATGTGCTAGCATCGTCTTCAAAGACGCCCCCAGCATCACTCACGACGCCCCTCTCTCAAGAATATCTATCACGTCTTACCACCCTTCCTCTGACCGACCTATTGGTAGAGCCCACGGCACTACAAACGCAATCACATCATCTCACCTCCAGCATCACCTCCTTGACACACACCTCTTACCCAACATTCCTTTCTTTGCATCGGACCACTACCGCCCTCACAACCTCTCTGGACTCCCTCTCTTCCTCCCTTGATGCATTGTTAAATACTAGTCTGCCAGCTTTGGAAGAGACTGCTGCGGGTTGGAAGGAGCGAACGGACGCAGTACTGAAGGAACGGGGAAAAGCAAAGGTGGTGCTAGAGCAGCACGAGAAGATAAGGGAACTCCTCGAAATTCCCCTCCTGATTGACGCATGTGTCAGAAATGGGTACTTCAGCGAGGCCCTCTCGCTAGCATCCCATGCTAAAGCTCCGGGCTCGTCTTCAGACAAATCACTCATCCTACGGTCGATTCTATCAGAAGTGCATCACTCTGTCTTGCAAATGCTGCTATCTCTCATAGCCACGCTCTACGAGCCAAATCGTAAACTCCCTGCATTATGGAAGGCCGTCAATTTTCTCCGTAAAATGGATGCTTTCACTCCACAGTCACCCTTCGCGTCCCCATCTTCGTTTTCGAAGCCTCCGGTCTATCTTCCTGAAATTAACGGCTCTGACGATCTACAAGCGGACGAAGTATCAAGTGAAGAACAAATCGCCCTCGCTTTTCTCATCGGGCGAGAATCATGCCTCAAATCAGTTCTCGAGTCAAGCGGGAATGACATCAACCGACTGACTAAAGACGGGGAGCTAGAAGAAAGGGAGAAAGAAGACCTAGCGCGCTACTTGAAAAAGTACATTGATATTTGGCGCGAAGGCGTATACGACATCATCACACAGTACTCGACGATCTTCCTTGAGCGCTCCTCTTCTTCGAATTTGAATTCACAGCAGTCGCCCACGAAAGCGGGTAATGTCAAGGCATCCACCACTCTCTCCTCAGAGCGAGAAACCATCCGCCTACACAGCCTCGCTACAACTTACGCATCTCGTGCACTCACAACGCACCTCCTACTCATGCTCTCCCCCTCTCTTCCCCTCTTGTCACTATCCCTCCTCCCATCACTACTCACCCAGCTCACATACTGCTCAACTGCATTCGCACGGGTTGGCCTCGACTTTCGTGGGATCCTATCCCTCTTGTTCGGGCACGCCGTGACAGAAGTGGTCGGTCATGACCTGAGAACAGCCGGTGACAAGTGGGTCGCCAAAGTCAAGAAAGCAGAGGGTGCAAGCAAAAGCAGCACAACGCGGACACTCAGCCCGAATGATCGGGATCGTACGACGCCCATACCGCCCTCCAAGTGGCTCATCACACCTTCTCTGCTTTCCTCGCCCCCTGCTCCGTCACTCCCCTCTGGGCCACCGCATATACCACCGCAGGTACTGACGTCCTACCCACCCCTCGCAGAGCACACCAACGCCATTCTAGGGGTACTCAATTCCCTGAGACTCCTCGCTCCTCAGAGCATACTCCCCGAACTCCTAAGCAGTCTGGACGACGTGCTGACGGAGGGCGGGGACGTTCTGATGAAGTACATTAAATCCTTATGTTCGAGCTACCGCGGAACAGGTAGTGACGACCAGGAAACGAGGAGAGAGCAAGAGAAGAAAGCGGCGAGGGCGGCTGGGGAGATGTACTTTGCGGTGTTTGTGCCGTTTTTGAGAAGGGCGCTGGTGGAGGGGGTGTATGGAGGGAAGGTGGAGGATTTGGATGGGGAGTTGGGAGGGAAAGTTGCGGGAGTTGTGAAAAGATGGGAGGATTGGGTTCAGGAGGAACGTGAACAGGGCAATACATAACTTTTTCCGCTGTCAACCATTGACTAGTTTCATATCATTTTAGAGTTGCGTGCTGGCCAGACATGCCCACGAAGTCTCTCTGGACATTGCAGTGTAACAGCCGGCGATGCCGTCGACAAGTTGGATGGGTTGCTCTTTCTTTGCACAAGGCCTCAGGCATGTAATTCGGACCTGTAAAATTATTTTCATATGATGAATAATAACTTTGCCCTCTGCAAAGTGCTCTCATGTACCAAGCGTGATGGTTTGTAGTCCTTCGAGCGTGCACTTTAAGATTTTCGAGGTCAGACAAGTTTGAAACTGCAATTTAAATCAATTAAAAACTCACTTGACTTGCACACTCACCATACAACATGCCAATACCACTTCCTCCACAAGCTGGAGCCGCTATCCTTCCCCCTGCTCCTCAAGACCCACCTGTTTTGGCAGATGTGGTTCGTGCAAAATATTATCTAAGGAGTGTTGAGACATCAGTTCGTGAGTTTTGTTTGCTCAGTGTTCTTTGAGTCTGAGTCCTGACTGATGACCATAGGAACTCATGTACCCAATGGACCCACACCTGATGATGAAGCAAGGGCTGATATCTATAAAACCCAAGTAGCTCTTGCTCACTCAGCTGGTGGTATGTTCTTGCACTAGTATTCTGAAACAATCAATGTCTGATAGTCATTTGAGATGCTGCTCAAGCTCCACCATGGTTTTTACCAGCATTAAATGCAGCACTGAACACAGCATTCACTCAACAACTTACACCACTCAAGTTTACTCTCACACAGGTTAGTGCACTGCACAATCTATGATCAGATGGCTTGATACATGTAGACATACAACATGCTCCTGCATGATGGTGAAAACTGCCCTTTTGACATTGTACCCTTCCCAGATGGCTCCATGCCAAATGCTCCACCTGTTAGTTTTATCAACATCATTCAACTAAGCCCTGCATACTTACTTATATTGAAAGCACAACTTGCCACTGTTGACCAGTGCAGCAACGATTGCAGGCCTGAATCCAAGTCAGCTTAATTCTTACTGCAATGGGTATGTTGGTGTGGGTCATGGCTTAGTGGGAGCAGCAAGCCAGACTGCTATTGCACAAGCAATTGGGTGTAAAGTTATTCCTTAGTGGCTAGAGGATTAAATGACAAGCACATGGAGAAGCAAAAGATGTTCTTTACCTGGGCAAGTGGGGATGTCTTTTGTGTAGGATGTGAACCAGGATTACTTTGATCTTTTGCTAAAGGTGCATGATGTGGGTGCTGTTGTTTTATCTTTCTTCCAAGCAAGGTTGATTGGATGATGAACAGAAATAAGTGCATCCATTGTGCTTAAAGTCTTTCATACAATAATTTTACAAATTTTCAGACATGGTTACCATTAAATGATTTGAAATTTCTTTACAATGTATTTACAATAATTTGGTTCAAGTTAATGTGGCTTGCACCCAGTGAAACCAGACTAGTCAAGTATGTAGGGAATGACATGGCCCTTGAGTAACCTGTATGGGGTATGGGTATGGGTGATGATAGTCATACATGTGACCTTCAAAACAAGTCCAAGAATATAATTTTTGGACCAGAATTGAGTGAGTTATAGCTGATTTCATTAAATTCATTGAAATTAGCAATATCTCACTCATTTCTGGGTCATTTCTTCAATGTAATGATATCAGATTACCATCCTTCATATCTTAAACTTTTGAATTGATATGAAGTGGTGATATAGATGTCAGCCCATTTGTTCTTACTTTTGTTATTGGTTTCACCAAGGGGTATGTAAAAAATTCGTTTAGTACATGACATTATATTTTTCGTTTAAGGTCAAATTTGACTGTCCCCCTCCCCTCCCATCCTAATTAGGTATCTATTTCTATTTTAGGTGGTCCCTGAGTTCTATTTATTTTGGTGTCCTTCCAAAATCCATCCATCCCATGAGGTTCATGCCAAATAAAGTCTATCATAACCTCAGGTGTCATACCAAAGCCAATTATCTGGTTGAGAATTTGGTCAAAAAATACCCATCACCATCCTCAAGCTCAAAGCTCAAAGTGCAGATGCACAGAATATTGGGTAAGACAATCATCAGCCATTCCTTCAGGCATTGAGATAGGTCATGAATTTCTTGAGCTCAAGCATGGGTGGAGCTGTGAGGCATCATAGTTTTGTGCTATTGACATGTTTGCATCTCCACAGAAGCCAATTTTTACATTGACTTTGCGTGTATCATGCAATAACGAGTACTCAATGCTGTGGATTCACAGTTTCCATAGTGAGAACATGAAGTTGGACAAGTCAAAGACCTTTTCCTCCTTCAAGCTGTGTGAGAAAAGGGTAAAAAAAGGTTGAAAAATGTTCTAATCATTGACATTGGCCTTGCAAAGCTGTTGGACAGTATCAACAATTTTTTTTTTTAAGGCTCAATTGCTCTCCCCCTCCCCCCCTACGTCGTGTCCCCCAGCAAATTCCGACATACCCCTTGGGTTTCACTCATTTTTTTTTTGTCAGCTATCATAGTTAAAGAGGCAAGCTGCTAGTAGATGTTTGCATGGAATGCATCCAAGTGTTGAGTTGAACATGCTGTACAGAGTATGCATCTTTTTATTTAATTTTAATTTTAAATCCATTGTATTCCAATTTATCTATACATATCATAGGGGGTGGTCATGTTGTTGTTGAACATTCTGTATGTGCACTCGAGACTGTTTAGGGTTAGGGCTTATCCTGCCCTTTCAATTCCTGCCCCTGTAGTTTAGTCTTTGGTTTACCACTACTTACTTAACTACAGACACCAGGTATGTAGACTACAGCTCCACTTTACCACTTCTTACTCAACTACGGACACCAGTCCAAGTTGTTCAGACCACCTTTAGTCTCCAACCTGAGACCTTCAGTATTGTGTCACCGCTGCCACTGTAACCTGTTCAATAGGTTATGGGCCCTGTGTCCTAGACACATCACCGAAGACTCCCCCCTTTTTGCTCCATTCATTGTCACAGCAAACCCACCTGTCCGGCTCCACAAGTTGTAGCAGCCAGACCCCAGGAATCCTCCTTCCTGATCTGATCTCATCAGATCCCACCCATCATCAACTCACACACAATGTCATCCGACCATTCCTGATCGCCAATGTCAAAGCTGGGAGATGTGAAGTACATTGAATGGGAGAAGTGCATCTTTGGGTGCTTAATGTCCCTGAACGTCGTCAGGATCATTTTAGGCACCGAATACGTCCCTGAGGAACCCTTCCCCGACACCGCCGCCAGCGTCATTGCTGTGCACTCAGCCTACATGACTCGCATTTATAAAGCTGCCAGCGAAATCTACCAATGGCTTGACAGCACTAACAAGGCTCACGTTGACGGCCACCGTACTGACCCCAAGCGCATATGGGACACCCTTAGGTCTATTCACAGCCGTTCAGCACCAAACTCCTGCTTTAATTCCCTTACAGAGTTATTTGCGATTTGGCTCAAGGAGAGCAAGTCTCTCACAGACCTCACTGGGTGTGTGGATGCCACCATGCAGAACGTCAAGGTTCTCCGCCCCATCTCTGGATACACCCTTGAGACCCTGGATGAGGAGTTAGCAATCATGGCAATGATCTGCGCTCTTCCTCGCAAGGACTATGGGTCCTTCATCTCATCTATCCTCCTCCTATCCAACCTCTTGAAAGAATCTGTTCTCCAAGCATTTCGGACCGAAGAAACCCAACACCAAAGCCTCAAGACTGCTGAAGCTGAAGCAGTAGCAGCGGCTGCTGCCAATGCCTCTCAAGTTGTCTGTTACCTCTGCGAAACCATTGATAAAGGCGTTAAGGATTGCCCATCCCTTTTGGATGCCCATGCCAGCTTTAAGAACAAGTCCAGCAACCACCGTGGAGGATGTGGAAGAGGACGCAGACATGGAAAGGCTGCAGTTGCAGCTGCTGCTTCAATAGAAGTAGGATGTGATGGCCCCGCTGTCAAAGCAGATGCTGCCATTTGTCTCCCCGCCAACTTGCCATCCAAATCAACTGACATACTTTGGAATGCAGACACTGGGGCCTTGGCGAGTATGACACCACATCGACACTGGTTTATGTCAGACTACAAACCTTGGAGAATTCCAATCCACCTCGCCAATAACAACATCATTTACTCTGTTGGGAAGGGTTCAGTGCTTTTCCAGCCAGCAGGGAAGCAGCACCAGGTGTTGTTTACTGATGTACTCCATGTTCCACCATTGTCAAACAATCTATTATCTGTCCTCACATTAACAACATGGCACCTCTTCAACATCAACATTTTTGGTTGCACACTGAAGTTTTCCATTGGCAATGAACTAGCCTTCACAGCTATGGTCAGTGCTTCGAACACTGCATTCCTAGATGGCCACGTTATCACATCCTTACCAATAAGTGCATTAGCTGCAGCTACATCCCAAGGCGTTGATCATGCCCTTATTCACAGGTGCATGTGTCATTTGGGAAAAGACCACATTGAGCAGTTCATCCACCAGGACTTAATGTCCAATTTGGTCTTATCATCACCAGATCCTATTGACGAGTTCTGTGAGGCATGTATCAGTGGGAAACAGCACCGTCTACATTCCCAAAGACTGTGGAACATGCCTATGAAACTCTGGGTCACATTTTCAGTGATCTACATGGGCCTATGGAAGTACAAAGCTCCCAACACCACCGCTACTGGGCTACATTCATCGACGACAAAACACGCTGGCTTGAGATATACACCATGGGAAAGAAAAGCAGGCTATTCGAGGCATTCAAACTTTTCAAAGCCCTTGTTGAGAAACAAACTGAGGACTTTACTCTCCCCCACAGATTCCATGTGGACTCCAGATGGACTCCATGGATCCAGCTGGAGTCCAGGTGGATTTTAGACAATTTTTTTTTGGTGGTAACCCAGCCAATTTTTTGTCTAGAATCCATCTGGATTCCAGCTGGAGTCCAGTTGGAGTCCAGTTGCTCCATGTGGACAACATGGACTCCAACATGGACTCCACCTCAGAACACAGGGTTATATGAATTCACCCAGTGAGACTCCATCTGGAATCCATGTGGATTAACTGCCTTACTTTATTTATTATATATAAAAAATGAAAGTGCATGAGCTAGAATTGAACCCAAGAGCTCATGGACAGAGTTAAACATAATAGCCAGACAATTAGCCATTGAACCACAAGGCCTTTAAAAGCTAAGGCCAACTAGTGATCTATATGGCCACGTCGCTTGGCATGTTCTGCACGTTCAACACATGTGCACAGTGTTTGTTTATTATTTGCGCATCTTGTTCCTCAACCACCACCATCCAACCACCATCCCTCACGATGAGCCCCCCTTGCTCAGCACATCGCCCAGGCCGACACCGTCCACTGCCGTCGACGACCACCCATGACCAACACCGCCCACACCAACGTCACCATGACGATGACACAGCCACAACCCACATCAATGACGACATGACGACGACCCATGTCGACGACGATGCGACGACGACCCACGTCAACGACACGATGACGACCCACGTCAATGACAATGTGACGACGACCCACGTCAACGACAATGCGACGACGACCCATGTCAACGACGTGACAACGGCCCACGTCAACGTCCAGGCGTGACCACAACCCATGTCGATGACGACATGACGACGACCCATGACGACGACGTGGCCACAACCCACATCAACGACGCGGCCACAACCCATGTCAACGACGACGCGACCACGACCCATGACAACGATGTGGCCACGACCCACGACGACCCATGTCAACGACATGACAACCGCCCACATCAACGTCCACGACACCTCAACGGCCTGCATCCACATCCATGACGCATCAACAACCTGCATCGACGTCCATGACACGTCAACAACCCATGTTGACGTCTATGATGTGTCCACATTCATGGTGAGTCCTCACTATTGTCTCCCCCCTCCATTCCCTCACTCACCCCCCCTTCCCTCCATCCCTCCACCACTCCCTCCCCTCCACCACTCCCTCCCCTCCACCACTCCCTCCCCTCCATCACTCCCTCCCCTCTATCACTCCCTTCCCCTCCATCACTCCCTCCCCCCTTCATCAATTCCTTCCCCTCCATCACTCCCTTCCCCTCCCTCTCTCT